AGTATTTTTCTTTGCAGCATCGGACTTTCCTTTCACTTCCAGGCGCGTCCGCAGCTGAGTGTCCTTTCAGCTTTGGCCCAACCACTTCATTAGCTCTGGAGTTACTTGTACTTGTCTTCCACTCTTCCTCAGTAGCATGTTGGATGCCTTATGACCTAAGGGGATCATTTTCCAGCATCATATCTTTTAGCCTTTTGTTTCTGTCCATGGAGTTTTCTTGGCAAAGATCCTGGAGTGGCTTGTCAGTTCCTGCTCCAGGTGGATCACGTTTAGTCAGAACTCTCCACTATGACCTGTCCGTCTTGGGTGTCCCTGCACGGCATAGCCCATAGCTTCTCTGAATTACTCAAGCCCCTTCACCACGACAAGGCAGCAATCTGTGAAGAGGAGTTATGATCTAAGGCACTGCAAATATCTCTCTGTAATTTTAAAAGAGGAGGTTGCATTCATTGCAGTAAGACTGGGAGCTTATCCAGACAGGGTGATTTCAAATGCATGATTTTGTACAGTACTTCCTATTCTGCTTCTTCAGGTTTTGTAACAGTACTATTCACTCTGTACACCCAGACATCTAAGGGTTGTTAGATGAAGATGCATACAGCAATATGTTCTCATAGGTCTCCAAATACCCGTTCCCCGTTCTCCTTTTACACCAATTTATCCACCCTATTCTTTGTCCTCCTCACCTCCTCTCCCACTATTCCATTCCCCACACCACAACAAAGTCACTCCAAACTACAGTTTAGAGAGAAATTATTACAATACTTCTTTTTTTTTATTCTGTTGGCGCCAAGTCCATTAAAAAAAATTGGATTTCCCCCTGTTGAGTTTATCACTTGAACAACTCATTCCAAGAAATTTGTCAGGGCTACAGTGAAATCAAAAACAAAGCCACTTTGTTCTTTCATGACTAGTGCTCAATTCATTGCCACTTTTAAAAGGGTAAAATGTGTATTATTACTGGGGGGAGGGGAGGCAAAAGAACGAAGAATTCACTCCCACAGCTCACATTATCCGGGCATGTCATGCACTATGATCCAAAGTTCATAGATTTGACTGATATTTATTTATTTGTTTATTTATTTCTTTTATTAGATTTATACCGTATTTATTTGTTTATTCATTTATTTTATTAGTTTTATACCCCGTCCATCTAGACCAAAGGGACTAATATATTTGATCCCACCATACAATAGTGGTACAAAATAATGCCAAACATACCACTACTAAAAATAAATTTTAAAAAGAGAGAAAAGAAAAAATCGACACACCAGACTGAACACAAAGAGGCAGAAAAGTCACAGGAGAAGATCCACGGTAGTTTGTATAAGCAAAACATTGTGTGGATATTGGAGGGACAGCTACATAAATCCATGCAGGACCCAAACCTTAAGGCAGAACAAATGTTGGACAGGATGAGCCTTAGGCTCCTGCCATTACACTCGGAGAAAGTCTGTGTGCCACATTTGCAGGGTAGCAAAGAAAATTGTCTTAAAGTTTATCAATGGTAACCTGCACGATGCAGAAGAAAACATCATTCAGTAATGTGTGCAGAAAAAAAAACCCAGAATAAGACTTCAGAACCAAATGACAAGGCTATAAGAAAGAGGGCTTGCTTACATTCCTATCCTACGCACACCTATATGTTGGCCTCAAAAGGGGACCTGCTTAGGGGGAAAACATGATTAGATGGTATGGGAAAAGGAAGGGATGATGAGGGGGTGGGGTGAAAGATGATACACCTCTGAGAAAATAGAATACAGGTGATTAGAATGGCATTGTCAAGGCTGAGGGTGGGAAAGAGGTAGGATTACCACTCTCTAAGACTATCAAAGGCATTCAGATGCACAGGTGAGAGTAAGGGAGTGAGAATTCTCCTTGCACCAAAAATAATGATGGAGGGGGGGATGGGAAAAGAATAGCCTTTGACTGCTTACCCAAAAACAGAGTTTCGACCCTTCTCTTATGGGATTCCAGAAGAGTCTGCACAGATTGTGAGGGGACAATAACTACAGAGCAGCCTAACTACATAAAAATGTCCACAGCCATTCAAATGGCAACAGGTTGGTAGGAAGGGTTGTCTCTCTGCCAAATGTCCTTCTGGACTCAGTCATCCCACTCATCGTCCTCGTCTTCCTCTCCGTTGTCTTCATCTTCATCTGTACGTAAAGAAGAACAGGGCAACCATACGTCAGGAACCATGGCCACACAGCATTACAATAGTGCACCTCCATTGTTCAAGTGTCAGGAACCATGCCACACAGCATTACAATAGTGCACCTCCATGACAGTTCCCAAGGGAATGTGTGTATATACACAAGGTAGTATGTGTGGTCACCAAACATTCATTATCTGAATGAGTTCCCTATCTGAATGATGTCAGCCAGTACATATACTGTACACCCATATACATATGTTTGTCCTTTTGTGTGTACCCACCCACAGCCATTCTCACACATGTGCATATACCACTTGTGTGATTTCATTCTGTTCTGTTCCTTAAGTCTCTACTTGTCACACATCAGGAACAAAACCAATGCAGGACTGAAGATTTTATTCTTCGCAAAATGCCACCAGGTTTCTATTCCTTCTTTGCTGCACCATTGCTCTTCAAGATAAGCAAAACAGCTCTGGCTTATTGCAAGTATAGGATAAAGATGTTTGAATGTGTGCTGCCTGAAGGTGAGGGGTATCATATGGAGATGAGCAACCCAGCTTACCTGAGGAGTGAATGACTTTGCTCCTCTTCTGCATCACATGCATAAGAGCCCCCACCAGGCCTTCAGAGCTCTCTGCAGGTGGTGGTGATTCCAACACATCAGGTGTCTGAAATGCAGATCGGGATTATAAACTATCTGATTAGTGCTCCCAGTATTGAGGGTCACTATAAATTCTAAATACAACAACCTAGAATAACACATTGGACAAAGCAGTAAAATGGAAAAGATATAAGTGTGTTTCACAATAACATGGTAAACCTGTCCAGGCTACACCACTTCACTACCACTATGGTTAAATGATATTCATACTTCTAGTTTACTAATGTGGGATATTGTGCTTCTATACCCATGATTCAAAATGCGAGGAAATGGCCCAGTATTGCTGCACAATCTTGTGCCTGTGTTCCCAGCAGAAAAAAGGCTTTACATAGCAAAGGGCAGGCTGAATGTTGACAACACCAATGGCAGCTGTCAAAATGGTCTATAGGATACCTTCATGTGCTTGCTACCATTCACGAAGTGACACCAAGCAAGGGAAAATCCAAGAAGCTGACCTTTTTTCATAAATCAACCACTACTCACCAAAACACAAAGCAATTGTCATGTCTGTTTTTTGACAAGCGTGAATGGTAGTGAGCACAAGACGGTATCTTATAGACCATCATGACTGCTGCCTATGAAACTGCAAATTTGCAACTCTCTTGCTGGCAAGCTTGTTCCATGCATGCTCAGTCTTATAACAAAGCAGTTGTTGTCGCCTTTTGAAAGACCTTTTTGAGGATCAATATTTCAGCCCCTGTAGCTCAGATTCCCTCCAAATTAAAAAAAAATGGATGGGACCAACCATTCTCTTTCAAGAGCAGCATGATTGGTCTTTTCAATTTGTAGGACATATTTTAAATATGGGGACTTTTAATGTTGCTTGTTTCTGCATTGGGGGGAGCTTCACTTTTTAAAAAATCCTAACACATAAACCCTTTGACCAAATCTCCCAAAATTTGACACAGAGGTGTGTGCTACAACTGTGCCACCTTTGGTGCACACCTGAAGTCCAGTTTCAAAGTTATACTTTTTTGTTTGGGCTGCCCTCATATTTAGAATTGTAGAATGTTGATTTACTTTGCTGCACAATAACATCGCTGCACTACCATGCAACTATGATTCTAAACATTATTTTAAAAATCCCTGTATATGGATATCTAGATATTAGAAAGAAGAGCTTTGGCCTAACTGTTTCCTTGACCTGGTTAGGATTTCAGTTTCCCACTGTGTTTCCCAGTAGAGCCAGCCTGTGAGGCTTTGGGCAAGCTGCACAGTCCCAGGATGCCCCAAAGAAGAGAATGAAAAACCACTTCTAAGCACTCTCTACCTAAAAAACCCTGAAAATGGTCACCCTAAGTGAGAATTGACTTGATGTCGCACAAATATTATTAACAAGCACTCCACTGTGTCAGTCCCCTGCCCATGATCTACAGTGGTACAAGCCTAAAGGGAATGTGGCCTTAGTCCAGTGGTTCTCAACCTTGAGTAACTCAGGTGTTATTCCCAGAAACCTTCACCACCAGCTGTGTTGGCTGGGGTTTCTGGGAGTTGCAGTCCAAGAACACCTGAGTTTCCAAGGTCAGGAAACACTGCCTTAGTCAAATGAGAAGTAGTGAGCACATGTATATGTCACATCATATTTCTTTCATCTAATGTTGCCTTCTCCATTGTCACAGATTTCTACAACTAAGATGTTTCTCATACACAAACGCAGGTTTGATGACTGACATATTTAACAACACCTCTAGTGGGCAAAACACACAAAGAAAGACAAAGCCCATCTGCTCTGGGGAGAGGTGAGGTGAAAATTCCCTTCCTGATCTCACATGATCAGTCAGACATTTGGGACACGCATTTGACCAAGTCTCCCAAAGATGTCCTACCTTGTTGAGTTGAATTCCTTGTCGTATCTGATCCAGTAACGCTCCACGTCCCATGGAGGGAGCAGGAGCAGGGGAAGCCCCCAGAGAACTAAGGCCTCCAGAGGTGGGGAGAGGTGAGGTGAAAATTCCCTTCCTGATCTCACATGATCAGTCAGACATTTGGGACACGCATTTGACCAAGTCTCCCAAAGATGTCCTACCTTGTTGAGTTGAATTCCTTGTCGTATCTGATCCAGTAACGCTCCACGTCCCATGGAGGGAGCAGGAGCAGGGGAAGCCCCCAGAGAACTAAGGCCTCCAGAGGGAAGGGAAGGGGACCAGTTCGGCCAGGCCCGGGAGATGGGGCAAGGGGGCCTGAACGATTTGGGGGCGGGGGAGGGGGGGGGCTTGGACCTGGAAAAAAAGAGACATATATGAACATTCAGATTCCTGTACATAAAAGGAATGGCTTTCTATATGTTAACATTTTGTTGACTTAATCAATCAATCAATCGAGCTAACAATATGTGGTTCCCTGTTTAGATTACACCCAAATTAGTAAAAACAATCATTTTTCCCCATCACTCAACACAAAAATGTATCCAGTAATGTAATTGTTGCAGCATATATTTTTGTTGCAGCATATGTTTTTGTTCAATAGAGTCCGTTTTGTTAGATTCAAGATGTGCTTCCCTCAGTTGAGTAATGACCAGAGAAGAGGGGCAGGAAAGGGTGAAGGGAAATGTCATGAAATATGGGGGAGGGGAGTATAATTTATGATAATTCTACATGACAAGTATAGGGACTAAGCACAGTGATCATTCACAATGAGGATAACAGAAGTAGCCTAGGTTGGCTATGAGAATTAATACTGTGGTACCACTGTCTTAGTTCAAGCTAAAAAGGTTGTCATTGCGTGCATTTGGATTTGAATGTATAGAACCTGCCACATAGGGTTGACTGCACTTGAAGGGCCAGGATATGTGCTCTGTTGTTATTCAGATCAGGGCAGAAGCTAGGTCTTTATGGCCGCCATGACAACCATGGGGCTGTCTCAATGTGTCATCGGCCCGACACATGAGAAGGGCCACACCTTGGACCTGGTTTTCACAACGGGACTGGAAGGTGGTGGTTTGGATGTGGAGGGGCTGGTCGTGACCCCATTGTCATGGTCAGACCACTTCCTGGTCAAATTCAGTCTATCTGTGTGTGTGTGCGTGTGGAGTGTGTCAAACATTGCATTGCTGTGGCTGCTTAATGCAAGCTTCTCCAAGCCAATGTACACAACCAGTTGATCATTGCACTAAGGCTATTATGTGTGTGTGTGCATGTGGAGTGTGCCAAACATTGCGTTGCCGTGGCTGCTTAATGCAAGCCAATGTACACGACCAGTTGATCATTGCACTAAGGCTATTATACTACTGTTTAATTTCTGATTTCCAGCATGGAACAGTATCACTCAAAGGTCATGAAGTCTAAACTGCTGCCTTATGGGACTGTCATGCATAGTCACGCCCTTATCATCCCCTCAGACCATCTTCAAAGCCAAACCAGTCCAAAATCCTGAAGTGTCTTAAGTGCAGCCATACTGTTCTATGTGACTCTGAGAATGGGAACCATAAAAAGAAGACGCAAACCAAACTGACAGGCAGACTATGAGTAGTTGCTACCATCCGCTTATTTTCCATAAACTACTTATAAGGTAGCTCATTCAATAAGACAGCCTGGATAAGGAGTCAAGGGTCGTGCCTCACAGGAGTGGAGCCAACCAAGTTCACCTGGAGCATGTGTGGTTGGTGAGACTACAGGTCGTGCCATCCACAAAGCCTTGCAGAAGCTCCATAGTCTCAGCAGGGGTGGGGAAGAGGACCTGCTAAACCACTTCTGAGGACTTTATACTTAGGAAACCTGAGAAGGTCCCAGTAAGTCAGAACTGAATTGACAGGATATGAATGATTTTGCTTTGGCTAGCCACATGGAAGGGAAAAGATACCATCATGCAGCTACTTTCAAGTCTCATTGCTGGGTCACTTAATGCCCTAAACTCAAGGGAGAACTATAAGCAAATCTGCACCTGCGTGGGTGAGAGATGGCGAGAGAAGGACAAAGATTCAGAGCACAGAAGAGAGGGGGGAATATGCATTTAACCTTTAGTCCAATCATATCCTACTTCCTCTTCCCCTGGACAGATATGCTTATGAGAGCTGAAATGCAGTTTGGATGGCTGCAAGGTAAAACCAAGGGCTTGGAGACGACATGTTCAAATGGAAAGCAGTGGATGTGGAAAGGATCTTATTTCCTACTTCTTTCTCCTGCTCCCTCACCCCAATTACTATCAGCTAGTATTCCATCACCCAACTCTGGTGAAAGGAAGAAGACTAGCAAGGAAAAAAGCCAGAGTAAGCCTTAGATTTAAATTCTTGACCCCTACAGCATCTTCTGATTCAGAAGCTTTTTTTCAGAGCAAAGAATATCATCTAAGCTTTTTCACTGAATTGTGAGTAAACCAGGAGATCTCCTCCTTTTCCTGCCAAAGCTACAGACTAACATTTCTTCCTCTGTGCTTTTGCTTTGGACTGAAGTTGCCTGCGCATGAACTGGGTTCAGTAACTCCTTAAAACTGGAATATGCAAGCAAATCCTGACAAAAAGCACCTCATTGCTTCTCACTCAGTAAGGGGTAAATGAGCAGTTCACACATCAATGCAAGAAGTTTGGCTGGACTGTAGTAACTCCAGAGTCTAATCTTCTAACCATGTTAGGCCACGGCCTCATTTCCACCCATTTAACCTCCTTCTTCCAAATGCAGTGATGAACCCCTCCATTTACGTACGTCAAATCCACTGTTGGGATCCCATCCAATGTGCTGGATATGCCTGGAAGGGTAACAAAGAAGACATCCAGTCAGTAAAAGTTCTGAGTCAATTCGTTATCCCCTCATAGGACCAGCTTCAAAGAGTAATGGCTTCAGGATCAGAGTGAAGGTGCAGAAAAGGCACCCAATGTGATTCCCTAAACTTGGAACTGGTAGGCAGGAGCTCAGAGCTTCTGAGGTGCTCCATGCCAAGTGAGAAGAGGAGCAATGGGACCTGGACTAGTCTTGGGGGCCCAACACAACTTCATCACCTTATTCACCTGAAGCTAATCACGAATGTGGTGGGGGAGAAACAAACAGATCCTGAGTCACAAAGTCAGTTCATTCTTTGACAAGGAAACAAGGGACGAACCTGGCATCCAAAGAGTGCTGTCCTCTGAAGATGGCGGCCAGAGAAACCTGGCATCCAGAGACTGCTGTCCTCTGAAGATGCCGGCCACAGAGACTGGCGAAACGTTAGGAAGAACACGGCCAAAGAGCCCGAAAAACCCACAACAACCATTAGATCCTGGCCGTGAAAGCCTTTGCAAATAATCATATTTCTTCATAAGCACCTGAGTGGCTATACTAGGGCTTTGGGGCCTCCTCAACCTGCTTCCCAAGCCTTTCTGCCTCTTCTCATCTGCTTCCTATTTGCTGTGCACCATTGTGTCCTTGGGCTGTCCTGAAATTTCTTTACAGGGTTGCACCTGCATCTGTGCAGACCATAAGGAGATACCGTACATCAACTCTAAACAGTAAGGGGAGGATCTGTTTGTAAGGCTGTTGTTGTTTTTAATGTTTTTGTTTTCTATTATACGTGTTGTATCCTCCCAGAGTAGTATCTTGGCACTAATAAGAGCAGGATACAAATTGAATGAGTGAATGACTGAGTGAATGAGTGAATGAATGAATAAGTAAATAAGTAAGTAAGATAGATTACCAGCTTCAGTTACTATATCCATTGATCATTCAAGACAGGCAACAGCAGGAGTTCCTGAACTGTTTCACACCAAACTTGCATCATGTGGTGTGTGGAAACTGAAGTTTCAGATCATCTCACATGCAAGCGTTGACAGGAAAATATGGCGCACAGAAACAGAAATGAAGAAAACCTTTCCCTAAAATGGCCTGAAATGTTGGAAAGATCCTCCTCAATCCTGTTGCCTGTCCTTGAAGAGGTATTTATTTCTTCTGGAGGCACTCACTTGAACCCACTCGGAGCTCCTATGTCAGCTTTAGAAATCTTCTTTTTCCCCTTCTTTTTATCCACTGCGGTGGGAACAGGGAGTCCTCGGTAGCGAGAAAATGTGATGTCTGGATTCTGGATGTTCACAGTTGCCAGAGGGAGAGCAGGCGAAAGGGAGTTTGACTGTGTTCCAGGTCCTTTGGGCAACACAAGACAGAGTGATGAGCTGTGAAGACTCACAAATTTACTTCTTCTCTCCTGCCACTGCAGTGCCCACCAATTCATGAACTCTTCACAATTTTGAACTATGTGTAGTACTGCAGCCTACATATCTGAGGTGTCACTGGTTGGTGGCTGTAGTGAAATTTCCAACTGTGACTAACCAAGTCTTACTACATTCATTACAAAATAACATTTTACATCTTTTTGGAATTATTTATTTGTGTAAAAGGGACGTGGTGGTGCTGCAGGTTAAACCGCAGAAGCCTCTGTGCTACAAGGTTGGAAAACCAGCAGTCGTAAGATCTAATCCATGCAAAGGAGTGAGCTCCCGTCACTTGTCCCAGCTCCTGCCAACCTAGCAGTTCAAAAGCATGCAAATGCAAGTACAGTAGATAAATAGGTACCATCACGGTGGGAAGGTAACGTATCTAATCGTGTTGGCCATGTGACCACGGAAACTGCCTAAGGACAAACGCTGGCTGTATGGCTTGCAAACAGGGATGAGCACCGCGCCCTAGAGTCAGACACAACTGGACTAAATGTCAAGGGAAACCTTTACCTTTACCTTACCTATCTATGTAAATCATGTTTAACACAATTTGTCCAGCTAACAAAATTTTATGGTTGCCATCACTGGAAATCATTTGCAGTTGTTCACTCTGTATGTTTCTTTCCTTTTCATTCTATATTGCCTTTCTCCCTATTATGGGATGCAAGGCAGTTCGCAAATTATTGAAAGATAAATGAGTTAAAAACTCAATAAATTATTACAATTAAATATATACAGTAAAATAATGGACGGCATCTAAAATTAAAACTCTTCCCTGCCCAATTAGCAGTTAAAAGCGAATTTCAATTTCCAATTCTATTATTTTAATCAATAAAACAATGGGATTCAGGTTTCCACGTTATCTTTGTCAGCTGCCTTGTGAACTCTTACATTTGAAGAGGCAGGATAAAAAAAGTAGACTGTGACTACACTGATACACTGCGGCGGTTTGATCTGCAGCCTGTCTTCCACTTCCATTTACTTTGAGTGATCAAAGGGGGGGGGGCACAGATTGATACAGTGCCGGTGTCCACTCACAATGTGATCCACATTTCAGCTCATATGCCTCCTTCCTTCCTATCTTCCTTCCTTCCTTCCTTCCTTCATTGAGGAAATTATCATCGCCCCCCTCCCTGAGGTGATATCTCCTTTCCTTCCATCTTCCTTCCTTCCTTCCTTCCTTCCTTCCGACCTCTGCCAATCCTTTTATGGTTCACTTTCTAATTTTTTTTCTGCAGAGAATATATTAAAACAATGACTCAGAGCTGAACTCAAAAGGGGGGGGGACAAATCATAAGGATCGGTGTTACCGTGGTCCCTAAACATCACATCTAACCCCTCCCAATACACGCCCCCTGTCCTTTTGCAGAATGAAAATTTGATAATACAGGGAGAAGTAAATTCAAATTGTTCCTGCTTGAAATATATAAAAGCCTTTAGCAGCAGGGAAAAATGCTCCATGTTGGGAACAAAAAGTGATGGACTGAATTGGTCTTTGTGTCATGTGATTATTTTTTTAAAAATTGAATTCATCTGTTTTGTGACCAGAGCAAAGACCACGGTAGCTGACAGTATAGTTGCATTCTTAGTGAGTTCAATCCCCCACTGTGCCTCCTATGAGTAGAGCCAGCCTGTGTGGCCTTGGGCAAGCTGCACAGTCCCAGGGCGCTCCCAGAAGAAGGGAATGGTAAAACCACTTCTAAGTATTCTCTACCTGGAAAATCGTGAAAAGGGTCACCAAAATTGACTTGATGACACATCATCATCATCATCATAGAATCATGGAATAGTGAAGTTGGAAGGAGCCTATAAGGCCATCAAGTCTAACCCCCTGCTCGATGCAGGAATACAAATCATCATCATCACCACCATTACACAGTACTGTATAGTCACACTCAGTAAATACATTTCTTAGTAGATAGATTTTTCTATGTCATCCAAACTTGCAGATTACCTACCAGTTGAGTCCACTCCAGCTGATGAACGAAGAAGACCGGTTCTTCTGTCTAACGGAGGCAAAAATACAAGTAAATAGTGATAGTAAAGCACTGACTGCCTCGGGACAATTTCTTGCTATATCATTTTTTAAAACTCCAGCTTCTGGGAACTTTATCCCAACAACTGTCCCCATGCTCTAAAATCGTATTCCTAGGATCCGGGTTACCTTTATAGCAACACTCCCCAAACTCTGCCTGGTAAATAGGGTGAGCACATGACGATCACAGCAACAGGGCTCAACTCTTGTTATAAGAGGTTCTTTTCATGCTCTGATCACTCGGAACATACACCAGTGATTAAGAAACGATAGGCAGAAGACATACCTCCATTGACCGGAGGTGGCGGTGGTGGCAGCTGCCTGGATTCTGAAAAAGGAGGAGAGGGTTAGGAAGGAGGTAAAAGTGACTCAGGCCCTGCTTGTGGAAGGCACTGGCTGGTCCTTGTTGGAATACAAGGTGCGGGGAGGGTGAGCCTGACCCCTTGTCCTCCCCCTGCATGACTTTTCTTCCCTGCTGATTCAGGGCATGGTGGGGTGGGCAAAGTGGCCTTTAAAATGAAATAACACGCCAGCAACAGCAGTAGCAGCAGCTAGTGGCTGTGAAAGGCTGCCAGCTCAAGGGTAGGAGGGTACGGGACAAAGGCTCGAATGCAATGATTCTAAAAGCCCATGTAGCCCTCTCAACTGATATATGACACAGCTTAAGAACAGATTTAAAGGTTTTCCTAAGAGAATGCACACCTTGACCCAAAAGCCACATGACTACCATATGACTTCAAACTGTCTTCAGAAACCCTGATCCATCTCCCTTATAGCTTGACATACAACAACAGTTGATGAGAAACTAATTGCATATTCACAGAAAGCGTTCAGAAGTTCCAATGGGCCCAAAATGCAGCAGCCAGATTATTAACTGAGGCTGGTGACATGGAAGGAGGGAGAAAAAGCTATTCCATAGGCCTTTTGGTTTGCCTCTGTCTTGCAAGCCCAAAATAGAGTTTTTTGCAGAGCAATTGTTTCAAATGAAGCCAATGTTTCCCAAAGCAAAGAGCCCAATTCTATTAGAACGTCTCACTTGGAATGCCCACCTACCCATCCTCTGGTTCCTCTTCTGGATCTTCTCATCCACCATTTGTTGAAAAGCATATGCCTCCTTTTCATCAGCAAAGTTTAGCCCAACCGTGCAATCCTGCAAGCAACAAGAGGGTGATTCTGTTGTACTAAAGGCCTATAGCCATTCCCAGCAACAGCAAGTCAATATTTGGGACATGTGACCCTCATCATCCACACATGCTCCAGGTGATCTTGGCTGGCCCTTTCCCCATGAGACATAGCATAGATGGGAACTCCCAGCCCATGGCTCTGCAACCGAGTATGCCAACACACTGAGCTATACCCACTCTTTGTGCTCAAGTAAAACAACCGCAGACTGCTTCTCTGCTTACTCCCACCTCATCTCCTCTCCCGTTCTTCGCTTGTTTCATCTCTGTCAAATACAGACTGTAAGCCTCTTAGGACAAGGACCCTCCCATACTCAGTAGATAAACACTGATCATGTTGTAATAAATAATAGATATCAGTACCATTACAGCAGTTCTCGTTGTCATTACTGACACTGTCAGAGACTCTACAATGGATTCCATTCCAAAAAGTGTCTCCTGTGACTGTTCCAGCTGTCCGTTCTCACACACACACACACACACACACACACACACACGCACGCACGCACGCACGCACGCGCGCACGCACACACACACACACACACACACACACACACACACACACACACACACACACTGCTGAAGCCAAATAGTGACACTTTACCTGACTAAGGTAAAGGCTGTATGTCGATCATTCTTCGCTAATTGGATAAGCGAAGCGTCAAATCAAGAGGAGGTGGTGGCCACACTAATGAGTGTCTCCTTAAGGGCAGATGGAAGAGACCTTAAGGAGACAATCATTAAGCCCATAAGAAAGAAACCTAATATGGCGGCAGACGAAATTGGCAATTATCGGCCCGTCGCCAATGTTTCTTTCATGAGCAAAGTGGTTGAGAGGGTGGTGGCCGACCAGCTTCAGGTGCTCTTGTATGAAACAGACGCCCTGGATCCGTTTCAGTCGGGCTTCAGGCTGCGCCACGGTACAGAGACGACATTGGTCGCCCTATACAATGACCTGTTGGGGGAGGCAGACAGGGGCAAAATGTCCCTGTTGGTCCTCCTCAACATCTCGGTGGCCTTTGATACTGTCAACCATGGTATCCTCCTGGGGAGGCTCTCTGAGTTGGGAATTGGTGGCTTGGCACTTGCCTGGCTCCTTTCCTTCTTGGGGGACCGTTCCCAGAGTGTGCAGCTTGGGGAGAGCGTTTTGGCCCCGTGGAGTCTCAATTGTGGGGTTCCACAGGGGTCGAGCATCTCCCCAATGCTGTTCAACATCTATATGAGGCCACTGGGAGGGGTAATCAGGGGGTGTGGGTCTTTGTGTCATCAATATGCTGATGATATTATTTTGTTTTATTATAATTGTTATTGAATGATTATGTACATTTTTGTGTTTTATTGTTTTATCTTGTATTAGAAGCCGCCTAGAGTGGTCCGGTGGTCCAGATAGGCGGGATATATATTAAATAAATAAAATAAAAATAAAATTGTACTGGGCTCAAGAATTCCTAACAGGGAAGGGCAACAGCACCATTGAGTTACCTGGTGATGTTTTCTCTCCTGGGCTGGGGAGTGTTCTTTTCCCCAGCCTCAGTGGCATGAACAGTGGAATCAGCAGACTGTGATAGCGTTGACCCATATGGGGGAAAAGGTAGAAGCAGGATACCAGAAAAGGGGGATATATGGGCAATTAAAAACAATGATGGTAGGAGAGTGGGTTGCACAAGGATGATGCAAAACCTAGGGCCAGGATAAGGTTGGGCATGGCATGCAGATGGAAAGTCCTAACCCGTGAATGTAATGAAGTGATGGAACCCAGCCACACAAAGGCCAACTTCAACAGCAGAATCAATATCCTGTATGACAGTAATTGTAAGTCACAAAAATGTCACAATGACTAGTAGGCATTGTTGGTGGCATATCATCATATTTCATTTGAATAGACAGGCACTTAAAAAACCCCACAGTGATGGATGTTCGAATATATGTTATGAATTTCATGGACACAACAAAATAAATATATTTTGTTGCATCCATGAAATTCAGAAGCAAAAGCAGCACACTTTGCTTCTGTACACAACACAGCAGGGAATGCAACAATACGCCTTCTCAATCACAAGTAGTAGTAACAACAACAACAGCAGCAACAATTTTAGACCTGCAGAGCTGGAAGGGACGCTATGGATCATCACGTCCAGCCCCTGTCAAAGAGGTACAGTGGGGAATCGAACTCCCAACCTCTGGCAGATACCTACATCCCTGAGCTAGCCTTTTCCTCTGGCAGGAGTCTCCGGACATTTTTAGCAGTCCTTCACATGTGTACACATAGGCACTCATCCATAATCCAATACTCACATCTCCTGGAAAAGTGTGGAAATAGGAAGTGGAAGCAGTGTAAACCAGCTGATTATACAGTTCTTGCTCCCAGATCATCTTTTTATCCTGCAACAAAGAAAAATAATACACAGAGGTACTCATTGCTCCATGGTTTGCCTTTCCTACTCTCTCAATCTCTCTTTCTCCAAATATAACAGTGCAAGAGACCAGGGACTACAATAAAGATTTACACCAAAAGCATTTACTTCCCTCCATTTGGCCTGCACAGGAGTACTCCTCAGTGCAAATTTATAGACTCTTACTTAAAGGAAACAAGTCTATCAGGACTTTCATATAAAAATGTGTGCTCGTGTATATTCAATAAGGATGATGTGGAATGTGGCTTTGCAAATATTATAGAACCCTATTGGCCAGAGTCTGTGACATCACTAGTAACAAGCCTTGAAACTTGACCATATTGGAAAGCAATTTCTTTTTTTTTTGTTACATTGGAAATCAAAGCAAAGGATATAGACCACTTTTACGTGCTTGTCCTCAGAATCCTGAGAGGTAAGCTGAGCTGAGAGACACTATCAAGCAGAAGGTCACTCAGTGGGCTAAATGGCTGAATGGAGATTTGAATCCAGGTCTGCCCACTGACAGCCCAACACTGGCTTTTGAACCAAGATAGCCTGCAGGATCCTCTCCACAAGGCTAAAATGCATCTATGAGGAATTATGACAGTGCTTGCAAAGCAGTTGCACAACAAAAATGAATGAACTTCACTCACTGAGTGCATGTTATCACTGTACTGAATAAAAGCACAAGGTGTTTTTTCTACCTGTCCAGAACTGCAAAACCAAGTAGGTTACCATCAGGCACCTCACAGGTAGACCACAAGCCATTCATGCCTGATATGTAAGCAGCATTTCTCAAATTTGCTTTAACCTCTTCCTAGATATTCCTACATCATACAACAATGGTTCTAAAAATTTTTTGACTTACAGGCCACTGGATGCAGCTCCCCCCATATACTCTGGGTGAGGGTGGGGAGGAAGGGAGTAGGGAGAAACCCGGCCTGAGTATTTTGAGGATTCTGCGGCACCCCTGGCTGGGTTTGGCAGCACCCTGGGGTACCACAACAAACAGTTCGGGAACTACGACCATACAATACAGTGGGGTCTTGACTTGAGAAGGGAACTACGACCATACAATATCCCATTTGTTTGAAATCTGATCAACAATAGCAAAGAAACCACAAAGGGTGTAAGTCAATGCCCAGGTCTTTCCATTCTCACCTCCCACTATGAGATATAGAAGGAATACAGGATGAGGCCCTCCTACTTGCAATAGGAGGTTGAAAATGTGTGCCACCTCCCAGACTTTGCCAGACCCACTGCTTCCATCGGTCCTGGCCAGAACGGTCCATTGTGATTAATGAGGAGGTCTTAAGTCCAAAGACATCTGATGGTGCCATATATCCCCCTACCTGCATTCCTATGCTAGTGAATGAAGCACACATCTGTAACTGACTCAGGTGAGAGTGGGATGCAGGGCAAGATCACAGTAGAACCAAAGCGTGGGTACCTTAAGATCGTAGAGGCGCATGAAGTATGAACGTCTTGGGTTATCCTTCACAAAGCACAGGATGCCAGCGCCTTGCTTGGACCAGTTTCTGCTGCCTTGCGGCACGGCCAGCAACAGTTGAGCCACTGTGGTGGCCATGGTCTGTCAAGAAACAACAAGTGTGACTTCATTTCCTATCTGGACTAATCACTACAACATAGCAAGGCACCCACATGTGGTAACAGACCAAGCACCGGTAGTGGCTGCCTACCAAAAACCACCAAATTCTGAACCTCTCCCTCACCTTAGTCCACTGCCTTTGTTTCACTGTTTTCATAGTTTAATTTGTTTATCAGTGTTTTGACCGAATAACTTTTAAAGAACACTTTGAAAGCATTTTAAAGGCATTGGGGCAGGATTTTTTAAAAAGCTTAACGGCAGTCTTTTAGCAATCCTAAGCGGTAAGGAAAGTGCAATAGGTCCTCTGTATCTGTGGGATCATTATCCATAGTTTTACTTCTCCATGGTTTGAAAATATTAAAACTACAGTATTAAAAGAAAAATCCCAGAAATACTATACATCTTTACATTATGTCATTATGAGAACTGGCCACTAGAGGGAGCCAGAGAACATTCTACTTATAACATCACTATTATAATACAGTACTGTAGTTTTTGTTATTATCCACGGTTTTTAGCATCCACGGGGGGGGGGCTTGGAACCAACCCCCTACAGATACATGGGTCCTACTGTACTCTTGGGTTTTGTCTTTTCAGGATGCAATAATAGAACTGGCCATTACAGAGGAAAAGACTAAATTTCCCTGGTGTGTGGCAATGATGATACAATGTATTATTAATAGGCAATAAAATAAATTGTGTGATTGGAGGAACAATAAGGATAAGGGCAATGTCTCTGGCAAGAAGCCAAAATCCTTGTAAAATCCAACATGCAAAATTATGGGAGAGGCTAGTTGGAGGCTAGAAGTGGGAGGAGGCTCCAGACCAACATAATCGAACATCACAAAGGAAAGATTATGTGGGAATAAATGGGAAGAAGATGGTATTGTGGTGAGTATAAGCTTATCAGCTTGCATAAGCTTGAATTTCAGTAAAAAGGTCCTGTTAGAGCAGTACGACAATGGAACCAGTTACCTCGACAGTTGGTGAGTGCAGATATGCTTTGATTGTATTCCTGCACTGAGCAGGGGGTTGGACTTGATGGCCTTGTAGGCCCCTTCCAACTTCACGCTTCTATGATTCTATAATCATACAACTGTAAATTAAGCTATACCTGGCATAATTCTCACTTCTTCAAGGTTATTTTGAAGAAACACAAGAGTCATTTTTATGGGCTGTCAAGAGTAGACTTCGGTCTAGATGGGTGGGGTATAAATCTAATAAATGAAATAAAATAAAATAATAAATAAATAAAGTTGCTTCCAATTCATGTTGACCCAATTAGGGCTTTCTAAGTATGTGAGATATTTGGAGACCAGTTTATCATTTTCACTCACATTAATTTCCATGGCTCAGGAAGAGTGTGAACTCGGGTCTCCTGAGTCGTAGTCCAACACCCACTGTGCCACACGTTAATCATTGCATGTACTTTTTCAAAGTGCCATGTTTGCACTGTAGTATTTTAATACTAAATTTAATATTTTGTTTTTCTTTTTATCAAAACGTCCCTTAAAATATAGGATCCTTCCTCCGCCCTTTAATTTTTTTTAGAACTAATATTAAATATTCATTCATATATCCTCTCTCAACAGGTGGCTTAGTTTTGAAAATTGCTTAGTTTGAAAAACTTTACACAGATCAATCATTCACAATATTCACAAGGACTAAAAAGCCATTCCTGATTCCTCATGCACATTTTTAAAAATGTTGCTTCTTTTAATTTGGGCAGAGATGACAACCGTTGGAACAAACAATCTGCCTTTACTCTCTTGTAGGAAGAGGACAGGTGTCTCTTCTAAGGTGTGAACCACGTCTGCTCCTTCAAAAAAATTTTTTTTAAATGTCTTGACAATGAGTGAGGGGCCATAAGGTTTTGCAGCTCTCTTTTCTTCATGTGGAGAGGGAGATTTATAAGCAAGGAAAGACCTTGCCCTCAACATCTATCCGCAGAAAGGTTGACGTCTGATGGCTTCTTCCACTGTCTCTTATCACAGACAGGGCAACAAGCAGGCCTTCCCTGCCATTCCTTTGACATTAAGGTGGCCACACATCCTCCTAGTTCCCCCATCTTAGTCTTCTTTTTAAGTCTCTTCTTATTTGAAGAGCTGAGTAGGGCAAGTCCCACTGAAAGATGAAGGACCTCAAGGAGGGAGCTCACGGTGGAGTCAGGAGGCACACAGGTCACCTGGGCACAAGGAACTGCTATTCAGTTTAAGTTTTAACGATCATTCCCCATTTGCCCCTGTAGGTATAAACCAGCTGGTGTAGTTTTAAGCAGACAGCTCTCTTCTTTCGATGGGGACCAACCTGCTCAGTACGCACCCCATCCAGAACCAGAGGGCAAAGGGAACTATGGCAGCTCCGGTGCTGAGGAGCTGAATTTCCCCACCCTTCAAGAACAATAGGAGGAAATTTAAAAAGAGAAGAGAAAGGGAAGAAAAAGACAAAAATGTCTGTGGGTGTCTGGACGGACAAACCCAGTAAGATCTGAGACCTCAACAAGACTGCAGATTTCATGATTCTTCCAGCGCGGCTGTTCTCTTCCTGGACCTGACAGGAATTCCTCTGCCAAACAGACACACAACTGTTTTTTCTAACTTCTCCGTTTAGATGGCAGTTCATCTTAATCTAAATTAGGTGGTCATCTGTAGCTCTGTGGGGCATGCCTAGTCCTTTTGCAGTTCATGTGCTTAAATGGGAGCTCACCTGTCTGCCACTCAATGTTTCCTCCCTCGTTTGATTTGTATGAATTGGTTGTCCTCCACCTACCCACCCACCCACTAGTACCTTTGTCTTCCTTATTGTTGTTGTTGTTGTTTAGTCGTGTCCGACTCTTCGTGACCCCATGGACCAGAGCACGCCAGGATGCTTTTTAAAAATCTAAACATTCCAAGAAGTCGGATCATGTACTACGTAGCGACTGCCTCACCCCAACTGTAGTCATCAAAAGCATTTGGGGGGTATTTTTATTATAAAAAGGTTGTGACGTGCAAATGAGAGAAGTATTGCCCAGTCTTGTATGCAAAGAGCTTCACATTTATATTTTCATTCCATAAAATCTATTCCAAAACTTTATTCCAACACTGCAATAAAACTGAGGTTTTAGTTAACCTGAGAATGGAAAGCAGCATCATAAAACTGTTCCATAGCTATAGCATAGAGTATATGACATTCGTCACTTTGGACTATAAGACAAGTTAACGACAGGAAATTCTTGGACAGAAAGTTTCCTGTGCTCTCATCTCAGCGGCAACCATCTGTGCTGCCCCTCACAAACCTTTTCTGGAGACTCAGAAACTTTCCTGAACAAGGGATATTGAGGTGACTGGAAAAGGGAGAACCCCACAGGAACTTTTTAAACTCAGTGGGTCTTACCTATACAAGAGATCTGTAGTTATTTGGGATTCAAGACATTATGTGGTATATGATATTTTGGGATTACAATACTACTTTAGGATACGTCAGATCTGGGGAGGGGGGGCTGTTTTAAAATAAGGGTGTGCCACGTCTCTAAATGAGGCGAAGGATCCCTTAATCCACTTTCAAGAGTGCAACATCTCTTGGAAGGAAACCATATCCACTGAACTTCTTTATGAGTGGGTATACCCCTGAAAACAAGGCCTGACTGTTACCTGGCAACAAGTAACCCAAGGTTAAGAACCAGTGCCTTAATCCACTTTCTAGAGTGCAACATTTCTTGGAAGGAAACCATATCCACTGAACTGCTTTATGAGTAGGTATACCCCTCAAAACAAGGCCTGACTGTTACCTGGCAACATGCTCGTTTGCAACAACCAACATTCCCATCCTGTATTTCCAGGTGGGGTGGAAGAGCCTATTTTCAGCATTACTGGGGGTGGTAATGGTTCACAGGCTCACCTCCGGGCTTCTTACATGTCATCATGATCACTGCCCAGGCTGTCACGCAGGGCCTTTTGAGGAAGTGGTTTTTCTCTCTCTCCATTTCCTGTAGGCAAAGCAGTTCACCAAAACGATGAACTACATACAGTACATATTCTCCCTCAAGTTGTTGTCTCAGAATTAGCTCCTTCTGCCTGCTTCTACACAGAAGGCAGAGAAATGAGTAAAATGGACTAAGAGATCATTGTGCGAGCAACCTGTACCAAAGGGGTTATGATCTGCCTGGTGTTAAACTAACCTGGCTAAGTTCCTTCTTATTTCAAAATTAATGCTAGACAGTTTAAGCATGGAAATGCCACCCTCAGCCAAGGGCTCTTTAGTTCTGTTGGGGTACAATTTTTATGAGCATGCTGATTGGGGATCATGTAACAAGACAGTCTAACACATCTAGAGGCCACCAGTTTGGGGAAAGCCAATTAAGACTGATCAACATCCCTACATGGGAACTAAGCTAAGAGTTGTTTGAGGGAGAAATAAATGCTATGGAGGGTTATTCTTAGACTAGACCTTATGTATCCCCAGATATCAGCAACATTATTTGGGGGTGTACGACTCCATGCTGGCCCGGGTATTCGGAGCACTGTACTGTAGTCCAAAAGAGGAACTTTTTCTATGGCTGATGCTCCCGTTTCAAGCTCCCCAACCTTCTCATCCTCATGCTCCAGCCACGCCGTGCCTCTCGGCATCTGAATGACCCACCCTCTGTCACTCATCATCACCACCATTTACCTTCAGCACAACGCTAAGACAGAGGCTGGGTGGAAAGACACTGGCTTGCCTCTTGGGTGCTGAACTGAGTGCTTGTCTCTCGTACGGGATTGTTTTATGCAAGCTACCACTACCCGCCGGGTGTCCCAGTAGCAAAACTCCTCCCCCTGCCCCACTGAAGGGAAGAAAAAGGATTCTGTTTATAGCCTTTCCACCCCAGAATGATAACAGAATTACCATGCATTTCCTTCCCAAGAGATCGAACATTTGCTGGTTCTCGTGGTCCTCAAGGAGATAGGAAGGCACATTTTCCGTCTGCCCTCGGGCTGCTGGCTTGGACCGTCGGCTCATCTTGGCCCTGTCAGATTACTCAGGGCTCTCCAGAGTCTCACCCAGAGGGAACTTCCGTGTTGCAAGGCCTTTTTTTTTCTTCCACAGGAAGCTCAGAAACCACCAGATCTCACAGAGAGAGAGAGAGAGAGAGAGCGCTAGCTAGTTGGGTTCCCCATCTTGCTTCGGAGTCCCAACAACAGAATCACACACAAAGCTGACGTGCAACTCATCCAAGAGTGGAATAGCATGTAAGAAGGCCACAGCAAAAGGTTCTCCCCTGAAAGATTATAAGAACTGGCACAGGAAAATCCATATTTTGCTCTAAGAAAAATACCCCTCAGATTCTGTTGCAGAGTCTTGAATTTCTGGTAATATTCCCTTTTCATTGTGTAGTAGAAGAGACCCACAGAGTAGAATGGCTACAAGTTCCCCAGAGTCCACCCCTTTCTCATTAACTGGCACTTAAAGTCTCAATAACTTACTCTGAAACATTTGTGGGGGAAAAGAATAAGAAAATGAATTTACTTGCAGTTACTTGAAATTACTGAGTTTTGTATGCTGCTTTCTTTATTGCACATATACTGAGGAACCTACCCAACTGATCAACAGCAAACAAACAGCCACCTCCAACAGACAAATGAGAGTGAAAAAGATAGCAGAGAGGTGGGGCTCCCTTTGAATTCAAAAGCTGGAAGGAACGATTGGTTAGTGCTGGACAGACAGATAATCGATCCCAGCCCAGAAAAGTCCATCCCAGTCACAGTGTATGCTGCTTTCTTTATTGCGCATATACTGAGGAACCTACCAAACTGATCAACAGCAAACAAACAACCACCTCCAACAGACAAATGAGAAGCTCAAGGTTCTCAGAATCCCAAATGTTGCTGCAGGTACTGGTTTCCAGGCCAAACACTCTGTGGTTTGCAGAAATTGGATCTGGATTGATGGCTGAAGCCGAAACAGGAGTGGATGGCACACCTTAAAACTGGGCAATGCTGCGCTAGCTAGTTGGGTTCCCCATCTTGCTTCGGAGTCCCAACAACAGAATCACACACAAAGCTGACGTGCAACTCATCCAAGAGTGGAATAGCATGTAAGAAGGCCACAGCAAAAGGTTCTCCCCTGAAAGATTATAAGAACTGGCACAGGAAAATCCATATTTTGCTCTAAGAAAAATACCCCTCAGATTCTGTTGCAGAGTCTTGAATTTCTGGTAATATTCCCTTTTCATTGTGTAGTAGAAGAGACCCACAGAGTAGAATGGCTACAAGTTCCCCAGAGTCCACCCCTTTCTCATTAACTGGCACTTAAAGTCTCAATAACTTACTCTGAAACATTTGTGGGGGAAAAGAATAAGAAAATGAATTTACTTGCAGTTACTTGAAATTACTGAGTTTTGTATGCTGCTTTCTTTATTGCACATATACTGAGGAACCTACCCAACTGATCAACAGCAAACAAACAGCCACCTCCAACAGACAAATGAGAGTGAAAAAGATAGCAGAGAGGTGGGGCTCCCTTTGAATTCAAAAGCTGGAAGGAACGATTGGTTAGTGCTGGACAGACAGATAATCGATCCCAGCCCAGAAAAGTCCATCCCAGTCACACAAACTACAAACAGCATGTGAGGTTGCAAACAAAACTCCAATGGATTTTACACATAAAAATACAATGCAATACCTTATGAAAACATTATTTTTCCATAAACGGGTTCAGCAAATAATCTGTAGTCTGAGCTCAACATCAGATACAAAATGCAAAAAAGAAAAAAAAAGTGTGGGGGGGAGAGAGCTAGGGGTTGGAACGGTAACGCTGGTCACATGGCCACCAGCAAACATAAGGGAGCATCCAGTCATGAGGAATTACTTGGATAAAGCTGTGTGATGCAACAAAGCTGAGCTCTGACTGTCATTATATTCTCTGAGGCACTGGTAGTAGTCCAGCTCCTCCTATTTACTTCCTGCATCACCATAAAATAAAACTTAAAGGAAGCCCAAAATAACACAAATTGAAGCTCAAGGTTCTCAGAATCCCAAATTTTGCTGCAGGTACTGGTTTCCAGGCCAAACACTCTGTGCTTTGCAGAAATTGGATCTGGATTGATGGCTGAAGCCGAAACAGGAGTGGATGGCACACCTTAAAACTGGGCAATGCTGGACCTAGGTGGTAAGGATGAGAGGAGGATGGGCCCTTCAGAAGAGAGAATGCCAGAAAGCTACACTTGATGGACCACCTCCCTTCTGCGGTTCATAAAGGCATAGAAGCATTGTCCTCTTTTTCATGTGGCCACCCTAGTGGGAAGACCATATCCAGAATTTCCACTGTTAACACACCCCTTGTTGACAAAGGATCCTCTCCATAAGAATTACACCTATAAGCTGAATCTCCTGTCCCACTGGATGATCATAAACCCTCGCACCAAGGGCTCCTCCTTTCAGCCTGGCTTGAAAAAAAGGAAAGAAAGATGCTCTGACTTTTCTTGCTCAAAGTTCAGTCCCACACGCTTTCAAAAAAAGCTGTGTGGAAATCCTAAGAATGCGAGCAGTTGCTTTGAAAGCATGCCCGTCAGTCCTTCATTTGGGAGAGACTTTGTAAGGAATGCCCCTTTAAAGCAAGTTGTATGTCTGAATATAAAAAGAATATAATGGGAGAAAAGGGGGAGGTTCCCATTTCTAGCTGTGAAAGGAAGCTTTTCTTTGGCCATCTTCCCAGACTAGGATTAGCCAGGTGATTGGCCTCATTGGGTTTTGTTTGGCCTGCCTATTGAGCATACTGAGTTCCTGGGGGCGTTCATGAAACCTATTCAATTATATGTGCCTACAAGTGTTACACCTCACCTATTTTCTCTTTTCAGGGTTTTCTTCATAATGCTCTGGCCACTCCAGCCCCAAATTTTCAGTGACAGGGCTGAGGAAAGCAAGGAAAGTTACCCACCCCTCACTCAGTCACATACACATAGGGAGAGAAACCCAAATGAAGTAAGGGCATCATCAATCTAACATAGCTAGCCAGCTACACATGACTTATTTCACTCATCGTGTCTCAGGCTCCAGAGCATATGTGGAGTTCATTGCAAACATGATTGACAGATGTGTGGTCAGTCCCACGAGGGGGACATTTGATGAGAGATTCTTTGGATGACCAGATGAAATGAGCCAAGTCTTGCTTCTCTTGGGACTCCGATGCCTTTATCGTGGACAGACTAGGGTGGCCACCGCTACATTGCAATAAAGCAGATGGAAAGACAAGGAACACACACGCTCCCCACCCCTCAAAAGGTCATTCTTCACAAAAAAAGGAGGAAATGTCGCATTAAATTAGTATATGCAAAAAAGTAATATATGCAAATAACATCACATTTAGACATCATTGCTATAATTTAAGTGGTGATATACCGTTGCTTACCGTGTTACACAAGACTGTATCTAGGTAACCACCTTGAAATAACCACATTGAGTTAAAGATGGGATGCAAATAAATAATTAAATAAGGCATAGTGTTCAACAACTTTCTGAAATGCCCTGTGTCTTGCACTTTGTTCAGCTTACTGAAAATTAATAAAAAGAGGTCAATATAGATTTGTTGAAATATCTAGCTAGGTAACACTCAGTTAGAAGCCCTCGGAAGACACTCTCAACCACTCAGGAAATAACTTTGGGGAAAAGGGATTTCACAGAGTCACACACCAAATTCCCTCCCACTCACTGTGCCTGAATGCAAACCTCTAAAAAAGAAGGAGCCCAAGCTAACTGAAATTTGCTAAAGAAATCCCTCCTCCAATTCCCAGTTAAGTTCTACTAATGAAATAAATGAAATGAAATAAATAAGAAAAAGAAGTGTTTGCTTTGCTGCCACAAAAGTGAAAGCACAGCCACCGCTAGCAAGTACCAATAGCACAAGCACCAACGGCAACTCTTCTCCCTCTCAAGAGAATCAGAACAGAAGTGGGAAATGGCTGCAGGGGAAAAGCTTATAAAACCTCTATAAAAGGTACAGCCCTTTCAGCAGTGCTATTGGCTGCCTGACATGCCAATCCAGGATCTCCTGATTAGCCAGAGCTCTTCTGATTGGCACCAACAAGTTCAGAGATGGCACAGAGAGGCCCCCCAAAAGGTAAGGAATATAGACGAATATTGGCGAATTGATGGATCGACGAATAAAACCAAGAAAATATTCATCAAGTCATATTCATCAAGTCTTCAAAATTAACAAATATGGATCAATGAGTATATAACGAATCGGCTATATTCATTGAAAATAGCGTTTTGTTTTTATATTCGTCCCCATCTCTACTGTCCACTATCTACCTGCTTACTCAAGATTGTGGACTAACAGAAATGGTCACCGTTCTACTCTTATTTGTTGAATTTCAAGAGAGACATGGTTGCTGGAATGGTCTCCCACAGAATAGCATCCTGGAACCATTACTTTTTAATATTTACGTAAATGTTCAATCAACATTCCGAAACTCTAGGAGTTTCATTTACTCCGATGATCTTGCTTTGACAGTCCAGAGGGAAATTTTTGAGTCCATCAAACACCAGCTGTAACTTCTCCATTAGAAGGTCTTTCCTTCTATTATAAAAACAACCAAATGAAATTAAACCCAGGTCTATGGCTCAACTTAAAGAATAGTGAAGCAGTGAAGAAGCTGTGAGTCAGCTGGGAAGGCAGGATTTTGGAATACAGTACTGCCCTTCCCCAAAGTATTGGGAGCATTATTCGGGATTGAAAATCATTGTCTAGATACCAAACAGAATGCTGCTACCAGAAATATCATACATAGGAAATTTGGCTGGGTCAGGCTGGGATACACACGCACAAACAGTAAAAATGACATCTTTGTCCCTGTGCTACTCCACAGCAGAATATGCTGGTACTATATGGTACAAATCAGCACATGCTAAACAAGCACATGAAGCTCTTACATCATACAGGATGAGTACTAGCCACCTGAAACCCACCCTATGTAAAAAGTTTATTATTTGGTGGCATTGCTTTTCCGGAAGTATGATGAGAGGTGCTAGCAAATAATGAATGACATAAGGAAATACCAACCTCCTGCCAGAGTATGGCTAAA